GTGGTGGGTACCTTCCCATGGCAGAAAGAAGTGCCCAGAGTCCTGGTGGGGGCACCTTCAGGAAGGTTGGGGGAGGCCTGCACCCCATGTGCCAGGCCCCCAGGGGCTGTTTCAGGGCAGAGCGTTTCTTGCCCCCACCCTTCCTGCCCAGTCCACTTGCTCCCTCCCCCACCCCGCCTACTCCCTCCCTCCTCCCATGCGTGTCCCCTCCCCTGCCTTTCCACCCACCACCTCCACTTTTAGAACAAACCCCAAAGTCAGACAGTCTTTTATTTTGCTTTAATTGAAGAGTGCAAAAGGATTGGGGGGTGAGAAAGCTCGGGGATGGGGAAGGGTCTTCTCCCAGTTCAAAGCGGCAGTGTGGCTAGAGCCTCTCTGTGACTCGGCATGGTCCCCTGGGTGCCTGTGTGCCTTCTGGGACCCCCTCCCTTTATGGGGGGCCCTGTACCCCTGCACTGCTCAGTGTTCAGTGTTGGGAGGGAGAAGTGCCCCAAGGCATGAAGGGGCCCTCTTCGCCATGCAAGTCTGGTAAGTGGCACTGGTACGTCGGGATGCCCCAAAGAACGGCTTTGTCCAGGTAAGTCCAGAGCTCAGGGCCAGAGGAAGGCGGGGTCAAGAAAGCTGAAGCAGATGTGGTGGGGGTGGGCTTGCTTGCAGGGTGGGATGGGGGTGAGGGAGGCACCGCATCATCAGACGTCGGGAGGTTGGGGGGATGGGGGTTGGGGGGAGGGGGCGGGAGCTCAGGGGAGCAGGAGCACTGGCGGTGGAGGTAGAAGAAGTCAGTGGAGCATCCGAGGTCAGTGTCCCAGGACGGCACAGGGTGGCCGTCGCCAGGCCGGGTGGGGGTCCCCGGCACCTGCTTGCTTGGCTGTGCCTGCTGTGCCTGCTTCTTCATCTGGCCGTGCGTCATGGGGTCACTTCCTGTTCGCCACTGCTTTCTCCCTCACGGATGTCACTCCCGGGCACGGGCTTGGGACCTGGAGAACTGAGAACTCCCAGCCCAGGGCTGGCGCTGGGTCTCTGAGGACTGGATAGTCCGTTAGCACAGGTGGCATTGCTGGTTGATGAGTTGAAGAAGCTGTCGTCCTTCACAAGTGGGTTCCTCTTGGGTCAGGAGTGGCAGGAAGGGAAGCGAAGCAGGCTGAGGCACAGGGAGGCCAGGGGACATCAGGAGGCATTGGGGCGAGAAATAGAGGGGACTCTTTGCTGGAGACGGGGAGGCATCTTCAGTCGAGGTCAGCATCTTCATCCTCGTCAGGCAGCTCTTCCAGCCTTGCCTCCTCCCTGGGCTGGCTCTCCCAGGCGGGGACGGGCAGGGCCTGCCTGTAGATCAGGGTCAGGAACTGGCTCAGGGCCCTGACCGCCTGCTCCCGGCTGAGCAGGTGCAGCTGGCCGTCTGCACCGCGGATGTGGAGCAGGCGGCTACTGAGGAATTCCAGGACCTGGGGATCCATGAGGTGGCGTGGGCGGGGTGGGGGGGAGGCTCCTGTGTGGCTGGGCGAGGCCTCCTGCACGTCGTTGTCCTGCTTGTCCTGCGAGGTGTCTTGCAGGCCGTCATGCAGGCCACACTGACGGTAACGTTGCAGGTCGTCTTGCAGGGCTTCTCGCAAGACGACATCCTCATCACCAACGACGTGCAGCTCCAGGTAGCGGTTCTCACGCAGGGCAGGGAGGCGGCCCTCCCAGGGGGTGACTCTGACACCGAAGAACTCACACAGCGTCATCCAGAACCCAGGGGTGAACTGCAGGCCTCGGTGGGTCTGGGAGTGCAGAGCGTTTCGCTGCCAGCGGCCAGGACCCAGGAATAACTCGGCCAGCTCCCGGGCTGGGATGGTGTTTGCGCCTGCGAGAGCGGGCATCTGGGTGAGCAGCTGGGTGATGGCTGTCGTGATGCTACTGCCTGCAATGAGGGACGAATCCAGGATGAGTCGTAGGGAGCGCTGGGGCTGGGGCCGAGCCACCTGCATGGTGGGTGCCGGCAGCACCGAGAGGCACTGTCTCACCCGCAGTAGCACGAGGATGGCTGCCAGGGCTAGGGTGTTCTTCCAGTACAGGAGGCCTCGGAAGAAATGCAGAATGACGGCCCTGATCTGGGCCATGCTGAAGTGGGCGAGGAAGCTATTGAGGATCTGGTCGATGGGTATTGTGGCCAGCAGCTCTTGCTGTAGGGTCTGTTCATTGGACTCATCCTGGTCTTCATTCTCTTCTTCCCCGGATTCTGTGGCTGGATCCCTGGGGAATCCCCTTGAGGCGAGCAGCAGGGTTTGCCTGGCTGCGGTGTTCCTCTGGAAGGCTCTCCTCCACCGGAGGTTTCTCACAGGTGGCAGCACTCGGCCACCATCTTGTTCTGGCAGCTCCATGACTTCAAAGTTGAAGTGGGAGAAGAAGAAGACCCAATGCCCAGGGAGAAGTACGGTGAGCCTGTCATTATTCAGAGAGGCTAGATCCTCTGTGTTGAGAAGGATCATGATGGGCTCCTCGGTGTTCTCCAGGTAGCGGCACCACACCATGAAGGCAGCCCGTATTGGAAGAATCTTCATCTCCACTTGAGAGTACTCAACCTCGATAGGGGAGATGTTGCGGGAGTAGAAAGCACAGTAGGCCCTCTTGCCGGTTTGGTCGTCAATTTGGATCAGGGAGGCGTGCAGGGCCGTGCTGGTGACCCCGGTTTCCAAGTAGAATGGGTTCTGGGGCTTGGGGTGGTGGAGGAGGGGTGCCTTGCGGAAAGCCCTCTTGAGGCACTCGAAGGCCTCCTGCTCCTCGACTCCCCAGTAGAACTGGTCGGAGCTCAGCAGCTGCCGCACCAGGGGCTCTGCGATGATGCTGAAGCGCTCCACGAAGTGGCGGTAGGGGAAGACGAATTCGATGAAGTTTCTCAGAGATAGCCTGGAGCCAGGGGTAGGGTACCCTGTTATGATGGTCATGACGTTCTTGTTCAGTTTCACCCCTTTGGGGGTGACAACGAAGCCCAGGAATTCCGCGGTTTGGCGGTGGAACTGGCTCTTGTCCAGGGAGCAGTAGACGTTGTGATGGCGGAAGCGGACCAGGACTTGGCGGACGTGGTGGAGGTGCTCCTCCTGACTCATTGAGTAGATCAGGACTTCCTGGCCATAAGAAAGCACGAGGAACCCTAGCATGTCCTTTAGGATGAAGTGAATCACGTTCTGAGGTATGATAGGGTCTGGGGAGAGCGCAAACGGCTGGTAGCTCTTCATCTCTTGAAGCTCCAAACCAAACGCTGCTTTCCACACATCTTCGGTGCGGTGCACGTTCACGCTTTCTTCCACAATGGTCCCACGCAGCTCCAGTTTTGTGAACCACGCGGCTCCGTGTAACTGGTCAAACAGTTCCGGAATCATCTGTATGTAGTCCTGTCTGTCGGTCAGCATGTCCTGCAGGTCCCAGTATTCCTCTTGTAGCCTGGCTCTTTCTTGCATCCTGGCACCCACAGGTTCCCAAGGCGCGGTGGAGGGACACTCGTAAAAGGTCTCGCTGTGATCACTGTCTCCAGCCTGCTGAAGCTCAGAGGGCTCTGATTCAGAAAGATCATCGGATCCGTCTGAGCTTGGCTGGTCGGAAGTCTCCTCATCTGCTTCCTTCGGGTTAAACACGTCGGCCAGGTCTGAGTATGGGTGTGGCAGTCCGGGTAGCAGGCTCATGCCGTGCCTCTCTAGGGCAATGCATGGTGGGGGCGGGCGAAAGCAGTTCTTCAGGCAGTAGGGAGAGTGGAAGGTGCAGCGGCCTTTGATCCAGTCGACTTCAGGGGCATGGACTCGGAGCCAGCGGATGCCTAGGACCACGGAGAAGTTCGGTGAAGGTACGATGTCAAACTCGATGGACTCCTGGTGGTTCTGGTGGATGCACACCAGGGGCTCCGTGTAGAGCCAGATAGGCTCGTTGCCAATCAGTGAGCCGTCCACGGATTGGACCGGCTGTGGGTACGGCTTCTCATAAAGCTCCACGTAGTGCTCCTGGGCGAACTTCTCATCCATGAAGTTGCCGTCAGCTCCCGAATCCACCAGGGCCTGGACCGCGACGCTGTGGTAGGGGTTCACTCTCACCATGAGCAGCAGGAAGAGGTGGGCGCGGTTGATGCCCGGATGGACTTCGCTGGGCAGCCAGCTGCTGACCATCCACCTCTCTGGAGCAGGTGAGTCGATCCAGGTCAGGTTCCGGGGGCGGGCCTCGGGGGGCAGCCTGAGCATGGCTCTTCTCTCTGCCAGCTTCTCTTCTATTTGCAGGATGAGCACAATCAGACTGTCTAGGGAATCCGGCTGAGGGACCCGGAATAGATAGTGCCTGATCTCCTCGTTGAGCCCCTGGCACAGGTGGGCCTGCAGGACTTCATCTGGCCAGCCCAAGATGGGTACCAGGCTCTGGAACTCATCGATGTACTCGGTGGCAGAGCGGCTGCCCTGCCTGATTGTGAACATGGCCTCTTCTGCCACACGCAGTGTCTGGCGGTACTCAAACACCTCTGACATGGCCTCCAGGAAGGCTGGGAAGTCTCCCATCAGGGGGCTGTTTTCCTGCAGTAGAGCTTTGGCCCATTCTAATGCCAAGCCGGAGAGGTGGTTGATGACATAGCCAACTCGCAGACGGTCGTTACAGAACATTCTTGGGTAGCTCTGTAAGGTCAGTTGGCAGAGTACGATAAACTCGTGGAATTCTCTGCGATCGCCAGAGAAGTGCTTTGGGGCGGGCAGTTGGCCTGCATTGATCCCTTTGATCAAGATCTCTTCTGCTACTCTCTGTTGCTCTTTGAGGTCTTGCATTCGGAAGTACAGCGAGATGATGGACCTCACCATGGCCATAAGTTCTGCGGTTGAGTGCTCAGTCTGGTTTTGCTCTTCTTGAGGAGTCTCCTCCCTTCCCGATTCCTTCAGGTCAGTGTGAGCCTCTTGCTCTTCTTGGGCTCCCGATGGGTTGACTGACGCTTCTTTCATCCTATCAGATGCTCCACTGAGTGGATCCCCCCTTGCCTGGTGTGAACCGTTGCATGACTCCTCCATGTCTTGGAGTAGGTCATTGGGTGGATCCTCTATTTCCTTATGTGGGCCACTGGATGGCTCCTCCATGTCTTGGAGTAGATCAGTGGGCAGCTCTTCCATTTCCTCGAGTGGGCCACTGGGTGGCTCCTTCTTTTCCTGGGCTGGGCCGCTGGCTGGCCCTGCCTCTCCCTGTACTCCACTGCCCGATGTCGCCTCGGTGGTGTTGGATGAGCCCTCGGAGGACTCCATTTGTTTTGATGATGGATTCTTATGCTCCATCATCGTCTCAAATGAGTCTTCAGAGGGTTCTATCATTTCGTCGGATGGAAAGGAGTGTATTCTGAAGATTGGTAAGGTTGTGACGGCGTCCAGTCAGTAGCTGGGACCGTGGAGATCAGAACCTGGTGGTGGAGGGGGAGTGGGGGATAAAGGCAGTAGTTTAGGATCTCATGAGGTGGCAGTGTGAAGGTCTCAAGGACAAATCAGATGCCCAACTAATCAGAGCAGAGAGAAATGGGGGAAAGCCTTCTATCCAAGCCAGCCTCCTTGGCTGGTCACTTGGGGTGCCCCCAGGGAGGGAAGATCTGTCAGCCCCTGACCTGCTTCCCAGGCTTATTCAGTCTGCCTGGCCTGTCCATTTCCTCCATAGATGTGAGCCCATAAACTCTGTGGAGTGACCGGCTGGGAGCAGCCACCGTGGCAGGCGGGCACCTGGCAGTGTGCACAGGCTGCTGCATTTCACCCTGGCACATGCACCTGGTCAATCCTCTTTTCCTGCTTTGGTCACCTGAGAATTACAGAGGTCACATCTCAGCACCATCCAAAGCCACCCCTGGCAGGCTCATGGCTCTGGAGCAAGCCCAGCTGCCTTGGTTGTGGGGTGGGAATCTCTAGCAAAGATGCCTACTGTTTCACCAGCACAGTGGAAGAGGAGAAAGTGGGCACTTGGTCACTGTCCCATCAGTTGGGTCAGCAGCCCAAAATAGCTCTTATTTCCTTCCCCATGTTCAAAATAGAAATTTTAGGGGGTGTGTACAGGTCTGGGTTCTTTTTTTTTTTTTTCCATAAAGTTCATAACATACCTATTACATGCTAGATAATTGCATATTTGTTACTTGATTCCAACTCAGACTTGCGGCCAATTTTTCCTTCTTGATTTGGTCTCCTTCCAATGCTATGTTCTCCTGAGCTCTGAGCTGTTGAGGAGATCTTCAAATAATCTCCTTCTCTTCCCACAATCTCCACTCTCCCAGGACTGACCTCTTTGTGAGGCTTCTGGAACTTCACACATCTGGCCTGAATTTCACCAATGCAAGCATGTCTGTACGCCTCCCCAGTCTTATCCTTCCAGGTCCCCTTCTTCACTCCAGTAGGGCTGGTCTCATTCTAGCAAATATCTTTTTCTCTCTGTTGCTGGTTGGGCCCTCCCAACAGAGACATGTATCTGGCAGAGTTGGGACACTGAATGTGGCGGTTGGGGGGAGCCTGTGACATCTTTGGAATCTGATGGTCCCAGAGTGGATTTTTGGAAATCTAGTGTTGGGTGATTTCAGTGGGCTGAGACAGAATTGAAAGAGAATGTCTTGGTTGGGGTTATTTGCATATTTCTTCTCTGCTGGGGCAGAGCAAATTGAGCTTTGATTATCTGATAGATTAGCTGTAAAGTTACTGCTCTTTATACATTTAACACCTTTTGTTACTTCTCAGTTTTCTTCTAAGCCACTGGACCCATCTGTAAAAAAACATGCGTTCCCCCTTACATGAAACTCATTGGCTAAAATCCAAGCTTTCCAACAGGATACAAAATTCAGATCTGCTGTTTCTCAAAATTAAGTACACCCTTGTTAGCATGACACTTAAATTTGATCATGCAGACTCTCTGATTAAAGCCTTCCACTGTTTATTTACTGTCTGCAACATTAAATCCGAACCTTCGAGCATAAACATATCTGACATGTAAACTCACCAAAACTATTCTCTGGCTAAAATGGAAGGGCCTTAATATAAGATTCTTACTTTGTCATTCCTCAAGGTAGCGATGACATTTTTTTAAAGCACAGTATACAAATTAGCATGGTATAAGAATTATAAGGATCATCATCATCATCATCACTGCAGCAACATATACACAGCACATTGCATAACGTAACTCATTTCCTCTCCAAAAAAGTCCTCTGAGGTATGCATTATTACTGTAAAATTCCAAACCTCTAATATAAAATTCTAATTGAAATACAAAATGTAACTAAGTAATTCATCTGCAGACTCATCTATCAGGAATGAAAATCTCAGCATGTCTCTCACTTAAAACTCTTTATTGGTGAAAATTTAAATTTCTTAGCAAGATGATTTAAAAACTAGATTATGCACTCTCTTAATATAAAGTCTTCACTCCTTAACATATTTACAAATTCGACCATGTGAATGATTAAATCCTTCAATGTTCCTGCCTTCAGCTCAAAATCTAATATCCTTGGCATGTTAGAAAAATCTTAATACTTCTTAACATCAAAGTTTAAACTGTTAGCAAGATGAATAAAGGTCATCTCATAATTTCTCTATTTAACACATACAAAAATTCATTTTTATTGCCTGTAAAGTTTCAACCACTTAGCATAAAATAAAAATTTTCACTATGTAATTTGCTTGCCAACTGATTAATACGAACCCCCAAATCTCATCAGGTCACTCCTAAAACCCTTTATTGGCTTAATTCCAAACCTCTTTGCATGATATAAAATTCTGATCATGTCATTCCTCAAAATAAAAAGGTCACACTCCCTTGCAAGATACACGAATTTGCTCTTATAACTTCTGCTTAAAGCTTTATTCTATCTCTTAATTACCTATGAGATAAGGTCTAATTATTTTTAGCATAGAACAATACATTTTACTATAAAATTTCTCTGACTACCCAAGACAAAATTTCTGCCATGTTACTGCCTTAAAAATCTCTTAATGGGCCACGTGCGGTGGGTCACAGCTGTAATCCCAGCACTTTGGGAGGCCAAGGCAGGTGGATCACTCGAGGTCAGGGGTTCAAGGCCAGCCTGGCCAACATGATAAAATCCCATCTCTACTAAAAATACAAAAATTAGCTGGGAGTAGTGTGGCTCATGCCTGTAATCCTAGCTACTTGGAGGCTGAGGTGGGAGAATCACTTGAACCTGGGAGGTTGCAGTCAGCCAAGATTGTGCCACTGCACTCCGGCCTGGGCAACAGAGGGAGACTCCCTCTCAAAAAAAAAAAAAAAAAATTCTCTTAATGGCTGAAGTCCAAATTCCTTAACATGGCATAAAAATGTAATCCTGTCATCCCTTAAAATAGTGTCCAAACTTCTTAGCATGCTATGTAAATTTAATCATATAACTTCTTTTTATAAAAACATGCTCTGTCTATAAATGACCTGTCTCCTCAGCATGGAGTCCAGCCTGGGTGCCCTCGTGCCTCGGGGACGCCTCTGCTTAGGAGTGTTCCCATGCTTATTCATTATCTGGTTCATCAAATCCAGACACCTTAACTTAAAATATGTTTACAATCCAATTCCTCTGGAGACAAAACTCTCATCAATTTACTCCTTAAAACTCTTTACTGGCTGACATCCAAACGCCTCTGCACAAGATTTCAACAATGAGCTCAATGAGCTCATCCCCCACCCCTTCCAAATACAACACTTGAATGCTTTCAACTCTCATGTAAAATCACATCTCCTTAGCATAGGAGCAAAATCTGATCCTATCATCTTTATCATAGAGATCCTGTCTTTTAGCTGTGCCAAAATGCACTTGTTTGAGCATGTAACTTCTCAACTTAAAACTTCTCGAAGTTTCTTCATTGCCTGTAACATAAAGTCCCAACTACTTAACGCAAAATGCAACATTTTACCATGTAATTTCTCTCAGGATGGTCTATTAAAACCCCCCAAATCTCATCCTGTTACTGCTTTAAGCCCTTTATTGGATTAAATCCAAAATTATTAACATGATACAAAAATTCGATCATGTCATCCCTTAAAATAATTCACACTTCCTAGGACAATATATAAAATTTGATCTTATAACTCCTTTTTAAAATCTTACAGTGTCTCTTAATTGTAAATGGAAGAAAAGTCAAAATTCTTAGCATAAAATGTGAATTTTATTTTGGAATTCACTGCATACTATTTATCAAACACAAAAAACTCACCAGGCCACTCTGTTAGAAAGATTTATTGGCTAAGTCAAATTCCTAGGCGTGTGCAAAAATCTAATCATGTTGGAGCCTCAAAATAAATTCCAAATTTCTTTTCATATTCGCAATATTGATCATTTAACTTCTCTGATTAAAATCTTTCAATTTTGGTGTCAACATTAATCACACCTCCTAGGCAAGCTCTGCAGGTTGAAACTGGCACTCCCCCAAGACTGAAAGTCAAAATGTTTGCACATGATTGTTAAATTGGTGGCCGTTACTTTTCTTTTACAATTTCCAGCGTTTCCTTGTTGCTTGTAACGTGAGTCCCAAAGCAGTTACGCGTAAAATATATTTTATCATGTTTTTCTGCATACTTATCTCCCACAAGCAAGAATCTCATCATCACATTTCTTAAAACCCTTTGGCAAAAATCCAGACTCCTTAGCATGATATAAAACTTTGATCCTGTCATCCCTCAAAACAAAGTCCAGATTTCTTCCCAGGAAACTCAAATTATGAAACTCTTGCTTAAAATCTTAACGTGTTTTCATCACGACAAAAAGCCTCACCATCTTAGCAAGGCACCCACTTTTAATCATGGCACTCGTAGCTTCCAACCTGTCAAATTTCATGTCCTCAACATAAAATCTAAATGCCTGAGCATGAAATGAAAATTGGACCAAGTATTTCTTACGCTGAAAATCTTTAGATTGCTCTTCTTTACTTAAACTATAAAGCTGAAGTTCTTTTCGCATGAAACCAGACCTTTTCACCATCTACCCTTTCCAGCTTCCATTTCCTGTTCCTCATGCGTCTCTCTGACAAGACTGAGTTTCCCATTCTCCAACCTCCAAACGCATTTTGATTTTATTGTCCCCAAATGTTTCGTTTCTTTGTTTTTTTTTTAACCAAGTCCTTCTGCCCATAATT